CCGCTTCGTTCAGTGGATTTCCTATATCTAAAAAAAAAATTCAATTTTGAACTAGAATATTGCGCGGAGAAAGGATTGGAAAATGTCGGAAATGCAGTTCAACTTCAATCGCGGAAAGCCCAGAAATATCGCATCTGCGCGAAAAGTGCTGGAGTGTGCTTATTGCCGCCAGAATTCCAGATGGAAATTTTCTTTCAATATATGAGGCATTTTCAAGTCGCTTAAAAAGAAATATATGATGAAATCACGTAGAATCAGGTGATAGAGAAATATAAATGAAATACACCTACGACACCTTCAGACAGCATGACACGCCGGTCACGTGGTTGAAGAACGCTGCACATCAACACCAGATAATCTTCATAGTCAACAATTACTTTTTTTGTTCGTTTTGCACAGAAAACATTAATTAACATTAATTAAGATTAAGAAGTAGAATAGGAAGCATTAGCTGACTTTTTCTCAGGCGATTAGGTCGACCCATCTGGTCGGGTTCCAAAAAGTTTTCCCGTGCAGGACTCTAACCGTATGAGACTCTAACAATTTCGTTTTTATTTATTTATTTATTTATATTTATTTATTATTTTCTGACATTCAGATTCAGGTAGAAGAGGCATGATTTCGCTCTCGCGAATCTCGAGTCGCTTCCAACCGCATTCCCAGATTTCTTAATTCTTCCACAGTCAATTTCTCTCTCTCCGCGGTAGAAAATCGCGGGCGAATCGGCAGATTGCGAAACGGGGAGGCAGAAAATGACGAAATTGTTGCGGCCGTGCGAAATGAATTCGTGCGATGAAAGGAGGGCAATCTCAGTCATTCCCACCCCCCCCCCCCCCACCCATTTTTTTTTTATTACCGTAACGGTTTATCGCAGTGTTACCGTAATATTTTTTTGCTTGGCTTGCGCGGGAAGGAAACACGTCATCTCTGACGGCGACATGTTCCTGACATGTTCCTGACATGTTCCTTTGTGCACTCAAACAAATTACATATCCAAATAATTTTCAAATTATGCCAAATATGTCGGCATTTTGTCTGGAATATGAAAATATGTAATATGTGAATATTAAACATAAAATATGCTAAATTTGATACTTTGTCAAATATGCAAAGATGCCATGTAAAATATGAGTATGTTTTGGGTTAAACATGTTGATATTTTATGTCAAATATGTCTGCGCGATATTTTTTAAATTTAAATATTCATGGAACTCTTTTAAATCCCTGAATATTATGTTTGAATATTTAATTAATGCTTTGCCTTTTATTTTTATGTAACCAGTGGAGTGCTGGCTGACCTCGATGGGAAGCATTCAATGGGAAGAGCAGGCCGTGGAGCGTGTTTGAAAAAAAAAGTTGCAAAAAAATTTCCTTCCCTCTCCCTCCCCCTTTTTTCCTTCAGGAACTTTCCCGGACTTGTACTTATTGGTACTGGTACTCGACGGAGGTACGTTTCCATCACCTTGCGAATTGTTTTACAGCATAATAAGGAAAACATGATCGAACGCGGGAAATATGGGGAAATATGAGGCTATTATGGAAATACACTCTAGCTGATTTAGTATCGACCATTAAAATACATTTATTATTAATGTTATCGATAATTATTAGTATCATCGATTAGTATATAATATGAACATATGAACATTTGCATGATGACTCAGCCCAGCAATATTCGTAGAAAGGAGGAAATGCGGAAAGGCAGTCTGTCTCTGCAGCCTCTTAGAAACGAGGAAGTAAAATGGCAACACGGAAATATTGGCAGAGGAGAAAAAAAAACACTAGGAAGAAGGAAACCGTGGTGAAACCCGAGACTGCAAAATCCCAGATGGCGAAACCCGAGGAAAGGGGCGTTCCGCGAAGGAGAAAGAACGGATGAGGTCCTGGTGATAGGAAGTGAAAACGGTTTCGCTGCCAGTCGGCTGGAACGGGGTGGGGAATGGATCGGGGGTATAAAAGACTGGCGAAGTCGGGGGAAATCATTCACTCAACAGCTCAGAATCCTCAGCAGCTCAGTATCCTCTGCAGCTCAGAATCCTTTGCAGTTCAGAATCCTCGAGTCGAAGATGAAAGTGCTGTGGTTCGTCGCTTGTGCTCTGCTGGTCCTCGTCACCATGGCGGCAGCTGCGCCGGAGCCGATTCCAAAGGCCATGGCGCATCCCCATGCCAAGGCCGTCCCGGCGCCGTATCCAGGGAGCAGCTCCTCCAGCTCCAGCTCCAGCGGCGGAGGCAAGAAGAAGAAGAAGAAGAAGGGAAGCTCGTCCTCCTCCTCCAGCTCCTCCGGTTAAGGACGACGTGCCTCTCCTCCTACTGTCAAGGGCGATGAACATCTCGTCCTCCTCCACCTCCTACTGTCAAGGGCGATGAACATCTCGTCCTCCTCCACCTCCTACTGTCAAGGGCGATGAACATCTCGTCCTCCTCCAAGTCTTCCAGCACCGTGCGTCTCGTCTACCTCGATTCCGGTCGCCTTCTCAACGCTTCACCGTTCTCTTTTTTTCCCCTGCTGAACGCGTTTCTGTACCTGCCTGAATTTTTGTCGGCGAAAAGCGGTTCCATCAGACGGCATCCTATCAAACACCATCCCATCAGACGACATCCCGTCAGACGACATCCCGTCAGACGACATCCCGTCAGACGACATCCCATCACGTCTCTTTGCCGTGCATGCTCATTGGAGAATACAGATTGGAAAGATTCATTACTGTCTCACAATCACCTGTTTTCTCTTTTTTTTTTCTCGCTTCCCCCTTTAACTTGCTGTCTCGAAAATGACCGTAATTTAAGCCCATGCCACTCCTTGAGAAAACGGGGGAAAAACCACAATCGAAGCGAAACGGTTCCGCTTCCAGGATTCCCCACCGCTCCGCACGAAAGAGAGTGATTCCTCAACGAAGGCAATCTCCTTCCCCAGTTCCATTCGGCCGAGACAAGCAATGCCTCGCGCTCTAACCACTGAAATCCACTTCACGAAAGTCCTCTAAGTCACATTACAACGGGAATCGTAACTCTCAAGACTTCCCAACATTTTTTTTTCGGAATGGTATCGTACCTCTAAAAAAAAAATTCATTTTTTGATAATGTTTTTAGCTTGGCTGCTAGATGGCGAGAACGTCAGCCGTTAAATTTGCGAAAATTAGGTTTTTATTGAATCACAACAAATTGACTATGTTGAATTCGTTGTGAAAGTTTAATACCACTAGCCTCCGTAATGCTGTGCTATACAAGATCGATTCCAATGAAAACAACGATTATTTTTCTTTTAGTAATCCATAAACTTTTTTTTAGCTCTCAAAGAGGCACCCCGTCCTTTGGCTCATGGACTCACCGATGAGACTTCAGATGTACTGGTACTCCGAGTACTTCTGGTCTGGCCTGGGTTTTGCGCTCTCTCGCTACTTCTTAAAGGAAAAAGTACTTTAGTGGTACGAACACCTTAATCGCCCAAAGATATGAACCTTAATCGTCCAAAGACATGTTTCACATGTTTCGCGGGAACACTCAGGGATGAATATACGAATGAATTAATAAACTAATTTATTAAATCATTCCCGTTGGGTGCAACTATAAAATCCGTAGGGTGCTGATATATTCAAATATATCCGGGGGGATTTTCCAACTCTTTTAAACTCATGAAAAACGTTCCAGTGATGAAAATGTCTTGCATCTTGCATAACCAAGCTGTCGTGAGGAATTGCCTCCCCTACCGAGCGCCTCCCAACCTCGCATGGCGGCGAATCTCTCCACGCACCCCCCCCCCCCCTCCCTCCCACCATCCATCTTAGGACTGGAGTCGCTCGACGGAGTTCGTGACAGAAGGGGAGGGCGAAAGAGGGGCTCTACCCCGGGCCCCATGCCCGGAGGCCCTTCGCGCCGACACCCGCCCCCATCGTGCTATTCACTTCCTCGTGCGATTCCAGTCCCGAGATGAGGGAGGCGATTACCCCATTGGGTGTAAGTGAATTTTATTATTCGCGGAAATCCAAAATGTGAAGACATGGAGTTACTTCCTTGTTGTGAAGTTAGGCCTCATAAATGCAACCAAATGAAAACCAAATTGTCGAAGAGTTTCTGGATTCGAACTGGCTGGAAGGACTGGAAGGACTGGCATCTTAAATGAAGACCTTCATGCCACTTTACTCTCATGGCATGTTATCACTAAGTTCTTTGAGAACGGTGACAAAAACCTTAATTATGTTGCATTACAATGCACATTAGAGCGCAACCGACTGAATGGCTCTACAGTTCGCATCCAAGCAACCATATGCTCGGGGAGAGGAAGCATAGAACCGCGGCATGACGGTCTCAACATGACGGCCATGTCTCTACAGGGAAGGCTCCCATTGGGCCGTGCATTCCTCTCCCTATCGCTTAGTCTTGTATCTCTCGAGGCGGCGAAGGCCAATCTATACGCACGCTTTCTTCGTGAGCGACACGTTGTTCAGCAGTGAGAAAATGCAGAAATGGAATGCGAACATTTTGACAGGGGAAAAGCACGGTAGCGAAAAATCGGGTCTCTCGAGGCTTCATCTTCTGACACGAGCCATACTTTTCTTTTGTCAACATTTTTTCTCTTTACATCTTTTTTTCCCTGGGTCAACGGGGTTTCGACGGCAAGTCCTCTCGAAACTCTTCTGTGGCTCAGCTCATCACCTCATGTAATCCTGCTCATACCCTCATGATAAGATTGCGTGGAGCGTTTCTAAGGCTTTACGAGATCCGTAACCTCCTGCCATAATAGACATTTGAAGGACATTCGTGATTTGCGATCGTTATCGTGATTGTGACTGTGATTGTGATCATGACTGATTGTGACTGTGATTGTGATTGTGATCATGATTATGATTGTGATTGTGATCATGATTATGATTGTGATTGTGATTGTGATTGTGATTTGCGACAATTGTCCTTTCGAGGACAGAATGCGAGAGAGACGGTCGACGTTGCAGCACAAATTCATTTTTGAAACAATCAAACAAAATAGAAACTGGATGAAACGATCACTGGAGCCCGAAGCCCAAGTCGGGGACGGTGTCCTCGTCCTCCCCCAACTTGGAGGCTTTCTTCTTCTCGACGCACTCCCCGACGCTGTACAGCTGCAAGAGAACGGGAGATTTAGGGAGGAGCATCGTGGAGAAATCGGAGAAGTCGGAGAGGTCGCAGAGGTTGGAGAGCTCGGAGAGGTTGGAGAGGTCGGAGAGGTCGGAGAGGTCGGAGAGGTTGGAGAGGTCGGAGAGGTCGGAGAGGTTGGAGAGGTCGGAGAGGTCGGAGAGGTCGGAGAGGTCGCAGAGGTCGGATAAACAGACTTGGATATGTCTTGATTGGGAATCGAAACCAATCTCGGGAAGACGTGGGAGCGATCAATTGTGATTTTCAGGTACTTTCTAAAATTTAGTTTGTCATCGCTTTTCAACAGTCTGGCGCGCCTTGTCCAGTATCACGTAATCTGGGAATGTTTATCGTTATCCTGTGAGACATAAGAATGCGCAACTGCATGTGGGTTTCAAGGTCGAAATGAATCGATCGGCCAGCTTCAAAGGATCGATTTCTGATCGAATATTGCAATTCTGCGATTTAGCAACACTGGGTCGCGTTCAATCCTCCTAATCCAATAATCCTAAATCCTTCGAGGATCCAGGCGAGTCCCCACTCGAACTCAAACGGTTCAACGACGGAAGATCAAGGCGTTTACTTTCCCGACAAAAATTGCGCACTTTTTGTTTTGACATTTATTCAACTCGAAACCGGAACTGTGAACTTTGGGACATGGTTCATCTCATCTTCCATCAAACGGCGGAAGTACTAGCTACAAAGTAGGTACCTGGAAGTACCTCTATGGTGTCTTCGTAGGTAAGCCAATTGCATTGATTATTGAGGATTATCCTTTGCGCGATTAGGTTTGTGCGGTTGAAAAGGTTCTGATGCAGGTCTATTTTGAACCTCTGTGATGGTGTTCACATCGGCGCAATGATGAAATTATTATTATTAGTTATTATTATTAAATTATGTCTGAGCATAAAAACGCCTGAGCCTAAAAAAGTTTTCCATCATGCAACCAGAGACCATCGCTAAAAACCATCGCTTTGGATGCGTCGAGATGGTCAAACTGCCTGAACGCCCTTGCTTCTTTCCAGTATAGAATCCACCGAATTTAAATGTTAATCATATTCCTTCAACACGATGTAGTTAGTAGATGATTGCTTACGTAGAGGGTTGATCTGAACTTCTACATTAAAAAATTACAATATTCCCTGAATCACGCAATAAGGAAATGAACGTTTGAATCTAAAAAACCTATTTGCAATTTTTTTTTCATTTGCGAGCGGAAATGTGGCTGGAAATCGGAAAGAAAAGCGAAACGCACCTCGGTGTCCTGGATCTCGGGGGCGTAGTAGTCGAAGAGCTTGACGAGGGCCGGCTTGGGGCTCTTCACTGCGACGGCGCGGACGAGGGGGATGTCGAGGCAGAAGCCCTCGCCGTCCAGCTGGTCGAAGTAGAGGGTCAGCTCACCGGTCTCCTTATTCACCTCCGTGCGCTTCACCGCTGTTGGGAAGGGAAAGATTTTCGTCGGTTTTCGAGTTTTTCGAGTGGGGTCAGGAGGAGGGGGGGGGCGTACCTGGGTTCTGAGATCGGAGTTTCTGAATCCCATCTTCGTCCGGTTTATAACCTGATTCATTGGGAGAAACATCAGGTTGCGTTTCAATTCTCAATGCTTTAGAAAAGTTTTGCAAGCATATGATACAACTTATGAATCGTTAAAGAAAACGATATTTCACCCATGTTAGCCATCATTTATAAAAAAAAAAAGGACAATTCGGTATGGGGGGTCATCTTACCCGAGACCATGGAAACCTGGAGCAGGGCCATGTTGGAAGTGTTGGTAGGCCCGGAATACATGACACAGGCTTGGATCGTGCGTCGATCGCATCCTCGCTCGTCGGCGGGCATCTCTTCCACGCTGAGCCTCATTCCTTCCTTCTCCGGTTCCTCAGACACCGAGTACCTCAGCGTTGCCTGCAAAGGACTCCGTGAGATATACAGACGCACTTCCGATGGCTTCCATATGAGGCGAGAATGGGACGGACTTGGACGAGGGCGCAGCCTTTCCCAGCCGAGGAGATCTGGAACTCGGACGGAACAGACGGGACGGGGATCATCTGCTGGACGAGACGATTCTCATCGGTGAGAGTGAAGTTGTGCTCCCAGTCGGAGGAGGACAGATGAACGTCCATGGCCACGTCTCCCAGTCCCGCGTGAGACGCGTACAGCGCCAGGGCTTGCAGGGCCATCACCGTGTCCTATAAAAACACATCGAGCGTTCAATGTTTTGCTCTCGCTTCGGGCGGACGGAGTGGGACTGAAAGGACCTGTGTGGAGGTGAATCCTCCCTTCGAGTTCCTCTTGGAGGCGATCCAGCGGACTGCAGACAGGGCTCGGGCGGAGTCGCCTTCTCGATCCAGATGCACCAGCGAGAGGATCCCGTACGACGTCGTCTCTATGTCCACTGCGTCTGATGGCTCTAGATACGAATACGGCGAGGGGATATGTTAATGGGATGAACAAAATAACTTCATAACCTCACTGTGAATGCTGGGAATTTACCTTTAAAATTGGCAAATTATTACCTCAAATTTCATTCGGAAAACGTACAAACATGACATTCCTACCATCGGGCGAGGCGTGCCAGAAGAGAAGACCGTCTTTCTCAGTGGCCCTCTGAAGAAGCTTGTCCATGTAGATCCCACTGAGGTCCCTCTCCCCGGCCAAGACGAAGGCGTACGTGGTGAGGGCCAGGGTGTAGGTCGAGGGATTCTGGTTGCCCTTCAGGCACTGCAGAGCATCCTTCCTCACCGTCTCATCCACGGCGGCACCCGATTCCAGAAGAGAGATGAGGACGTACGCCGACAACCCCGTCTCTGAGCCCTCTTCACCTTCAGCATCGTCCAGTCCTCCCTTAAAGAATCACAGTCTCGTGTCAGCATTTCTCAGTTCAGAAGTCATCAATTGATATTAACATTGTTACAAATAAGACTGTTAAAATAATCCGTGGGCTTGTTCCGTATAAGCTTTTACAATGCCAAGTGGAAATTAGGCTCATTTGAGGTCATCCTAATCAACTATCCTTTTTCAAGGCGATTCTCAGGCATGCCCATGAGCTAACCCGTTGTGCCGAAGCCAGAAACTCTTGAAGGGGAGTAAATATAGAACCCCCCCCCCAAAAAAACTGCGTCTCCGTCCCGCCTCTTCCAGTCGAGACTCGCGTGTCTGGGTTTCACCGAGCACACCCACGCTACGAGGGAAATGCAGACTAGAAATGTTTCCGACATGTCCCAAGAAACTATATTCCCCCTCTTTTCATCTCGTTCCTTCCTCCCGATTTCTTTCCCCGTTCTCTCCGACCATTACAACCATTCCTTAAACAGCTGCTTAAACAGCAGCGTTCTCTACTTCGACACAGGAATACATCCAATAAACGAACCCTGAAGTCGTTCCCCAAACCGACCTTTTCTGAAGGCAGCACACAATTTTGCACCTTTCATGCGGTACTTGGTCTATTCCCATAGAGAACCAAGGGAAGACACTCGAATTTCTCAAATCTTTTGTTTAAATAGGTTACGCAGTGCAAGGAGAATCGTGCTAATTGTGAAGGAGGCATGGTTCAGATTTTGACTTTACTCAATAGGGAGAAAAGAAGACCGGTTTCTTCCGATGGGTTCGAGCGTGATAAAAGACATGATCGTCCGAGTCTTGACGGACAAGCACTTTCATAACGGTTGAAGAGCCTAATTAATGAGTGAAACCACAATGGGGCTCAAATCCCGTACGGAAGGTGAAGGCCTCTGAAGCTGACAATCGACGGAAGTACTTGGAGTACTTCCAGCCAGACAGAGAGAAACTCGGGGGCAAGGTCCCCGGTAAGGGAGCTGACCGATTGTGCACAAATATAGAGTCTGAATCGAAACCTCTTTTTAATAGCCTGAATGTCATGCCATACGTCGGTATTTATCGGTGGCCCAACGTGGGGCCGTGGGACAAGCCTACGAGGGACCATAGTTGGGCCCACATCGTAAATGTGGATTTCCGACGTTGGCCCTACGAAGGTGTGCAGCCAGGATATCAGTTTTTCTGTCCAGAGTAGTTTTCGTACTTTCATCTTCCCAAAGATCGATTCCCGTCCTACATCAAGTATCGCTACTCCCACTCGCCATTCCTGATAAGCAAGGGCTTCAAAGCAAGAGGATATTCCCGTTTATTTCGTGTGTTTTTCATCGCTTCTGCATGCGATCAGGTGAAGGACGTGATCGGAACGTTATAGAAAATGTCGTTCGTTCTTAGCACACCCGTTTTCTTTACTGACTTTACTTTACTAATGTCCTCGATCCTCCATCGGATTAAAGCTAAATAATTAATGCAATAAGATGTATTAGTACTTCCTCACATCACTCTTAGGCACTGCAGCGTTTCCAATGAACGATCATTTCCCATTTGATTTCTCTGGCACGTTGGTAATGACTGCCACTACCAATAATGAAAATTTTCAGTGCTATCTGGTGTGACAGTGGGAATCGCAGACTACGTTGGTTACCTTCTTCCTTAGTCGTGGAATTCACGAACTAGGAAATGGTTAAATTTCCTATGTAATCAGTTTCCTTCGAATTTAACTTCCGAATATAACCAGTCTCACCCTTGCAAGCAACTTGAACGAGGAATGAAAATCGACTGAACCTGATAGCGAGACATGAGGACCCTCCCGACGTTGGGGAAGCACCCGTTCTCCAGCTGCCTGGAGGTGATCCACTTGACGCTCTCCTGCCATTCGCTCTGATCGATGGGGATGAAGGGAAGGGACTGCCCGAAGCCCTTGACCACGAAGGCCGTCAGCCACATGGAACCCTCTTCGTCGTTCTTCCCGAACGCGCTGAACGATCCGTCGCCGTGCTTGTACTTCAACTCCCTCTGGTATCCTGAGAAAAGGGAATCGCCGAGATTTAGATTTTCCAGAATAGGCAAAAAGAAGGAGATGACGTGCACCTCGTCGGTTTAATTTGTTATTGATGCAAAAAAAAATCCAACTTTGCTTCTAAGACTTTCACCAAAACTATATTATTTTGAGTCCATTGGGTGCATCGCGGCAATTTTTTTTTTTTACGGACCGATCTCCATATTGTGGACGAGTTCTGCCTTCAGTTCTGGCTTGAGTTGATCCGTGGTGTTGAAATATTGGAGGAGGAAGATGTTCGGAGTCAGAGCGACCATGTTCTGCTCTCCGCAGCCCGTCGGCAACCTCACCAGCGACTTTATTCCCTGCAAGACACGCATTCTCCATGACAGAGACGTGGAGAGTCAATGCGCCGTAGCAACTTATGCGACTACGACACGCCATGACAACTAAAATAAGATCGAGTATTAGATGAATTTTCAGTCCAGTACGGGACTTAGGCGGAGGGAGAGAGGGGGGGGGGGATGTGACATATCATAATAAATGTATTTTGTGCATGAGAGACTTGTTACCTTCGTATGGTTGGTCGTCTCCAGAAAGTAAAGGTCTTTCGCAAGACCTATTGGAAGTAGCTAGTAAATGCATTTTTGTTAGAACAATGCAAAGGATTTTCTGCTCAAGAGGAACAACCCATGAAAGTCTAATTTCTTGTATTATTGCTGTCATCTATTGTGCATCTACAAAGCACGCCTTCGCTTTTGTTCGTTGTGGAGAGTAAAAACTCATGGAATCACACAAAATGGTGGGATTCCGTGCAATTTTACGAGATGATAACGAGTGGAATTTTGTCGATTTTGTCAATCGCTTACTATGCCAAAAAGAACGGACACGCTGGCGTCCCCGGAACAGAAGGAAATGCCTCAAGAAATCGTAAAAGACTCCCAGAAGAAGGAAGTGAAGCGACGAGTCGATGAGACTTACCTGCAGCGAGGGACCAAGGAGGTCGCCAGAGGCGGTGACCCACGCCCGAGCGGAATCCGGCACCACGTCCTCCGGCAGGCTCAGCGAGTGAGACTCCTTCACCTCCCCATCTCCCTCTGGGGACGGGTGAGAAAGCCTTTAGTTTCAAAGAGCATGCGATATAGCAAAATGGAGTCATAATTGTTGACAGTTGAAATCCCCTTAGACCTTCAGCAAAGGCAACTGCTAAACATCGTTTGCAATGAGAAAATTAAATTTTCGGATTGGAGAATCGGGTCTAAGCAGTCCTGGGCGAAACTGAGACCTGCCTTCAGACTCCTGGCTTCTCTTTAAATTCTCTCTGAAAAAGGAAAATCTAAAAGAATTCATTTCACTCAAAGAGAAAAGAAATACCTACCGCAAAAATACCAGTTCTTCGTCTTTTCCACCGGGAAGCCTTCTGGTTCCACTCGCACAGGCTTCACAACGGCGTCACTGAAATATAATCATGCAAACAATTTAAAGTTCACGGTTGAACAACATATGAAATTCTCGACAGAACAATTGAAACATCAATTTCCAAATGACATTACTGACAAATGACAACATTACAATGAGTTGCAATTTTTCAACGAAGGAAGCTTAGCAGACGTGAGGCCGACGAGCGGGCGCGGTTTCTTGGTTTCCCTCGCGGTTTCGATCTACAATTTAGACCTTTAAATCACAGATTGAATGGAGAGCCTTCTGCGTGACCGCCTGTCTGGTGTGGTTTCCACAGACACCTCTGGCCCTTTCCTCCTATATTTATTTTAATTCGATATTTTTATATTATACGAGGTATTTTAAACATAAAATCCGGTTTGCTGCACATTTTTCGTGCCGAAATTATGAGGCCAACGATATGCTCGCGGCATAGTGACTTACACAGACGAACTCCAATGCTGCTTTCATTCCTTCATGAAGGAAATATATCCCTGCGTAATGACCGCTACGTTATTTACTGCAGGAAGAGGATCTTCGCGAAAGTGAAGTCGAATTTCCTTCCGGGTCTGAGAGAAAGTGGACGACGAATCGCCCATGTTCGCACCAGCTGCTCTTCGGAATTGATCGTGTTTACCACTCGGTGCGAAAGCGAACAAGAAATGGAAAGCGTCTGCCGCCGCGAAGGGGCGGGAAAGGTGGAAAACTTGTTTCGCCGGTTCGGGGGCGAAGGGGGGAAGATTTTCTCTCGTTTTCCTTTCTCCTTTTTAAAGGTTCTCTTATCCGGCCCGGTCTAGTCGCATTGCTGAGCTGCCTGGAAGCGGAAAATCATACGATTTTTTTTTATCATTTGGCTTTAATTGCGGGTTTTTCCTTCCACGACGTGAGCGGGCTTGGTCCCAATCTGAAAGCCATGGCTCATTTCAGTGATCCGAGTTTTCCGGAATAATACGCTATAGCCCACTATAAATCGGTCTCATAGACTGCTAGTAAATAATTATTAGCCTTGAAAAATAAACTTTTTCAGTAGTGCTCAAAGAATATTCTAAGATTAAAGAAAAAGTTCCTTTAATAGACATTCTTATTTTTCGGAAACGAGCGCTAAAAAAAAGGCTCAATATTTACCATGAACGTCCTGATATAGGAAAGGCAAACGAGAAGGAAGGAACTTGGACTTCGGAACTTCTGCATTTAAAATAGGCGAGAAATAGCAACCGAAGAAAATTACTAAGGATTTTTCAACTGATCTGCTCATTCAAGATATTCAATTTCGATACGCGATGCTAACTATTCAGACGTGCTTCATATATTGGGAGACTCAGGCAATGAAGCATGCTGCTACCATAAAAAAAGAAACATAATTGCGGTCATGTGACACTCCGCAGGAAGTGTCACAAAACCTTCTTGAAAATTCTTGAGAAAAAGAGACCATTCTTGAAAAATCAAGGCTGAAATTTCTCAACGTGGCCCAAGGAGGCCTTACAGTGGAGGTTAAAGACGAAAAATTAAAGCAGTTGAGCTGGGCATCTCTTGGAAACCAGTCATGTTCCGAAGAAGATTACAGGTCAATTATGCCAGAAAGGGGTTTTCTTCGTATCCACGTGGCCACCTTTAAGGAGTTCGGACTGGGATGCGAGAAAGTGGACAAACCTGACGGCCAGAATGACATCCGGCCCACAAGCATCGGGGAAGCTAGGGTAGATCTGAGCCACGACGGTGATGTTGACCTCTCCGAGTTTCGAGAAGTCCAGGTCGAAGGTCACGACTTCCTTCCCTTGCTCCTTCAGACAGAGGCTCTTCTCCGTGTCTCCGTCCACTTTGAAGGACTCGGATCCCTTCACCTCAATTTGGACCTGTCGAATGAAGAGTTAAAAATTGAACAACTCGGATTTGATATATTCTCGGAGGAGGGAAACGAGAGTTGGACTTACAGGAAGAGGATGTTCCTTATAGTTGAAGATGGAGATCTGAAGGGGAAGGATCTCCCCTCGCTTGATCGAATAGGGCAGATTGAGGTCGAGGAAGAAGGGCTGAGAGGCAATGATGGATTGAGAGGGGGACAAGCCCAGCCCTGCCAGTGGGGAGCTGCACACCGCTGATCCCACCCATTCCGTGATGGTGTCCGGTATCTCCAGATCATCCAATTCCAACTCCCCTGGACGCAGGAAGACGGAGAAGGCATAGAAACGAAGTCTTTTAATTTTCTTGATTTCTCCTTAGCCCGACCACCGACCTGTTTCCCCGACGGCCTCGAGGGACCACAGCCAAGTCTCTGGGAAGTAATCGCGAACCTCGACGGGAAGGATCTCATTGTCGAATACCGGCACCACCGCGTCTCCAACGAATGCCTCCTTTTGCTCGGCAACCAATGCAGATGTCGGCGGCAAAGACCCCCCAAAAGACGCAGCAGCGAAGGCCACGGGGGGTCCAGGTCTCCCACGTGTATCTTCATCGATGCGGCAGGGAAGGGTGTAGACTCTCAGGTCGGATAGTACCAGAAGCCCCGAACGCTTCAGAGGGAAAAAATCAGGTCAATTTCAGCATTGCAATAAATGTAGTCGAATATGATGCGAACTCACATCGAAGGATGTAAGGGCGTGACTGCGGGAATCATAACCTCTGAAGCCACCTTTTTGGTCTCGGTCCACATCTGCATGAACGAAAACGAAACGTTGAGGCAAATCAGGGAAAATCCCAATTTGCAGGCTGGTCTCTGTGCCATCTACTACTGAATGATTCCACCGAATACCGCCACGTGCATTCTTCCGGTTAGTTATGCCGTCAGGAGTCGGATTACTGAAATTCATGTAAATGTCATGGATATGCCTCTCGCATATTTTGTGGGGCGGCGGCGGGGGGGGGGGGGGGACAAAGCCCCAAACGACGTCAAAGACGTGCTATGCTCAAAAAACAAGGCAAACTCAACCACAATCCGACACGCACGACTGATGCCCACCGTGCTCGTGTACTGTCCATCGACTGCGGTTTGGGTTCGAAAGAGAAAGCTGGGAATGCTGTTTGTTTTGCTTTCTTATTATGGACTGCACTCCTCTTATCACTAGAAAGTGTTTGTCGCTCGTTGGATCTTGAAGGCTTAGCCATTCCATTTCCTCTTAGACCAAGCCAGTAAATGAGTCACAGGTGAAGAGTCACATCGCAGTGTAGTTTCGGTTAATTTTTCAAGAGTATGTCTGCGGAACGTTTTGCGCTGATGCAAATCTCTCCGGTTTAAATGCACAGCTGCCCTTATGTAAGACGACTTTGGACATTTTTCCCTTTCAGACTGTCTTCTCGTAGACATAGGCATCGATGAAGCAAGCATGCAAAGTAATCAGAGACCAAGCGATTCCGCATCTTCGACGACCAGCGAAGGAAGGATAAATTGAGAGTTACGTGCAGGAAAGGACCATACCAGATATATTTTTGGAGGGCCGATGGCGGAGGCAGAAGCCGTTGTCCGTGCTCTGACTGGGGAACTCGTAGCCATAGATCTGGAAGCGCTCCAGCGCCTCGAATACTTTTTCCAGATTCAGCTGATGCCCCGGCCTGAGGAGGTCCACACTCTTGTCCACCACCCTCAACCCACAGACCGACTCCGGCTCGGCCTTCACCTTCAGCCCAACCTTCGATCCAGGCCCCACTTCTTCTTCTTTCCATTTCAGTTCCACCTGCCAAACAACGATGACGATTCGCATGAGTTTTAGAGGTTATTGATGCGACTATGAAAAAATGAAGAATCACCTTGTTGGAGAGGCACTGATCCACCCGGAAAGTGAGGTGATCGGACACCACCTCTCCGTCGGGCCTGATGTAGAAGACCACCAGTTTACTCTCGGGTGCCATCTCGGGCGTCACCGGAATCTCGACCGAGGCCTTGCTCAAGTGCTTCGGTATCGGAGTCTTCTTGTCCGACTTGTAGACCAGCAGTTCCGGGTCGCCGGATTCCACTTCCTCCTCGCCCGACTTGTGATCGAAGACCTTCGAGACTAGGACGTCCCCCCGGGCCATCACCTGCGCAGGACGATGAAAAACGCCTTCGATTATGTAGTGAATGGCGATGCGAATTTCCTCCCGTTTCTGTCCCAACTCAATTGATCTAGTTCATTCGTGAGTGTCGATTAGCCGATTCAGAATTTTTAAAAATCGGATAAATGCATGAATTTTTTATGCTTCAGCTTATTCACAGTATTTCCTAAAAGCAAAGAGAGGTAAGTAGCAAGACACGATTTGAATGACGTCTTGGCGATGAGCGCCTTTCTGCCTAACTTGTCTGGTAGTTCAGTGCCAAGCCCGCTTCCATCGAGGTCACAAGATTTGCGACACAACTGGTTTTAAAACGGCAGTTCAGTTGTTTCAGTTCAGACTTTGGCTGAATTTTAACTGTGCTCTTGTCGACTTCTATCAAGAGATCCCATCTGGAACTAGAACTGAAAACTGCGACTAAACTGCGACTAAACTGCGACTAAACTGCGACTAAACTGCGACTAAACTGCGACTAAAGTGCGACTAAACTGCGACTAAACTGCGACTAAACTGCGACTAAACTGCGACTAAAGTGCGACTAAACTGCGACTGCATTTTATTTAATCAGTCATTGTCTCTGGAAATTCGAGGGCGGTATCCAGCACGGAGTAGAAGAAATACCTGAAAATGCGAAATTTTCATGTGACGATGCGAGAATCTCTTTCACATCTACCATTTCTGATAATTAAAAAAATCCCAAGCACTTTCGACAGCTGCGCATGCTGTGCCGTGCCATGGAGGGGATGGGAGACACAATTTAAATGTTGCATGGATGTGAACAAGCATATCTGTGATGCTACTCTTATGAATAACATTTTTTAAATAAATGATTTTGAGATGAATATCTATGCACATTTTTCTCATATCTAATGCATTTCCAAAAATATATAATTTAAAAGGATGTCAATCCCTAAATTACTAGCAAATTATCCATGTGTTTTATTTATTATCATGAACGCAATATATGGAAAATATTAAGTTACCAAATCTGGAAATCCCGAGAGATGTAATAATTTTAGCCACCGCTATTCGACTCTGATGCGGCACGGGGGTCGACCTCGATCGGTCCTTATCGCGGAATTCCCGTTTTCTCGGGCGATGAACTCGATAGATGGCTCGGTGGAAATGTCACGGGAACGGGAAAGAGTGAGGCAATGCCTCACCTTTTCCCAAGCAATTCCTCGCCTCTTCCCAGGCAATGCCTGGAACGTCGCGGCTGAAAAATTAAATTTAAAAATGGATTGCGTTCAAAAATTGGATTCCTAATTCGCCTCGTGTTTGAGTTGCTGTCTCAAACTCCATTCTTATTTTGAATGCCAAGCTTCATCCTTGATTTGAGTGCGGAAATTGGAAAATTGGGCACGGAAGCGTAGCTAAGGATCAGAGCTTTAATGAATATCTCACTCTCGAATATTATTTTAATTTCCTCGGCCCGAGATCCGAATTCAAGCCCGTCATAATCCAGCGGATAATCCAATAAGCCACCTGGTAGTGAATGCGCTGCACGGCGTCAGGCGTCGACGTGGAGTAGAGGAGGTCGAAGCGGAGCGTCTCCCCGCAGCCCGCCGGGCTCCCCTGGCCCGCCGGGTGGAGGATGTGGATGTACTCCTTGGACGGCGAGTGCCAGCCGTTCACCGACTTGTAGGCGTTGTACGAATGGATCTGCTTCTCCCACGTTCCTTTCTTGTGGTTCTTCGGGAAGTCTTTCTCCAGCCCGGGTGTCGAGACCTGGTGGAACGGAGGTCAATCCCGTTCTATTAAAAGCAATTTACTTTCTTTTCCGGTTATTCATTGACTGCTTCATGCGGGGGAACGTCTTCGCTGTTGAAAGATGGCCAATGAGAAATTATGTGCGTTAAATGAATATTTAATGTTATTAATCAAATAGAAATCTGGGCCATTTTCAAAAGTTATAAGAAAATTCTCGCATTAATCTTTCTAATCTGAAAAGCGCCTTCAAATAATCGATAATAAATTTTCGACTTATTGCTTCATTTACCATTACTTACTTATTTACAAGGTGGAAAATGAGTGGAAAAGGAATGGGATGAAGCCATGAATGGAAAAGGAATGGGATGAAGCCATGAATGGAAAAGGAATGGGATGAAGCCATGAATGGAAAAGGAATGGGATGAAGCCATACCTGGATGCCAAAGGAGGATTCGTCCGGGACCTGCGGAGGAATCTGGAATCGGACGAGACCCTTGGAGTCGGTCGTGAAATTCCGGCATCGCCCCATCCGCTCCTCTGACGACCCTGGCAAGATCCGAAGGTCAATTTCGAGAGTTCGGGTGCATCGATTAATCGGGTGCATTGATTAATCGGGTGCATCGATTATGCATCGTGAATATGCTCACCGTCGGACGGATCTTTGCAGATCTGGATCTTCTGACCTCGTGCCGGCGACCCGCTCTTGTCCTTCACCTTCACCTGTCGATTTGAAATGCCCGGATAATCTCGAGGATGATCTGGGGATAATCTTGTGAGATATTGATAGGATTATCTCGTGGAGATGCGATCAAATTCAACCTGAGAAACGGGATGCAGAATCGGAGACCAGCGGGATCGATTCCGCATCCCATTCTGGCCTGCAGAACGATACCCGAGACAGGTCCGAGTAGGAAAGTGAAGGATGAGGAGGATTCATCATAACATAGCAGCCTCGCTGCACGATCGCAAAGGAGCCATTCGGAAAATGTTGCTCATTCGCCGGGGTCTCCAAGCACCTCCAGCCGACATACCGCCCTTTAATTTCTTTTTTAAGCTAAAAATGGGGAAAACGTGATGCCGACCGACGCCTCGCCGCGACGAAGCCATCGGACGACTCAGCCGGTTCCAATCGGCACCGAGCGCGGAGCGAAGCACCGGGCGCGGAGCGTGGCACCGGGCGCGGAGCGAGGTGAATCCCGAAGAACGGGTCGAACGGGCCAGCGTCGCTCCATTCTGCACGGGCGAGCTTTCACTCATTGAACGGCTTTACTTTCAGTTTCAGATTATTCGTATTATTCATATTATTCATATCGTTTCCCGTCATTCCGGTCGTCCCCATGTCCGAAAAGAGGGGAAAGTCGGGTAATAAAATTGGCCCGGATAAGAGAAAACCTGCCGGTCGGCGTGACCGCATCTAAACCTGCCGGTTTACAACCGGCCTCTTCCGGCCGGAAGAGATCCAACCCGGATGGAATTTTCCTCACCTGGCCGTTATAGACAAACCCAGGCTTGAAACTGCTCGGGGAGGCGTCCACATCGATTTCCAGGGGATTCCTTTCGACCTGGAGGATCACGGATTCCGTGAATTCGATCCCCGTCCCCTTCTCCTTCACGGTGGCCGTGATGTTGACGGACGAGGGGGCCAGCTCTCGATTGTCCATGCCTAGGGCCGCCGTCGCGATGCTTTCCTTGTGGCAGCCCTTCACCTGCAAAAAAAAGAGCAAAAAATTAGCAAAAACCTGGCAAAAAATTTGCAAAAACTGTGCGAACTTGAGCCAAGATTGTTCAAAGACTGTGCAAAATTTGTAATATAATTTGTAATAAAACGTAATAATGACGTTGACGGAGAACAATGTTTTTCCTCCTCGGCTCACCTGCAGCTTGAAGGTCGGCGTGTACTTCTTCAGGTCGATGCGGAACTC